AGAACCAACCAACCAACCAACCAACCAACCAACCAACCAACCAACCAACCAACCAACCAACCAACCAACCAACCAACCAACCAACCAACCAACCAACCAACCAACTCTACAGCATTTGGGTCAGATAGCAGAGGAAGACTGAGTGATTCAGTCGAAAATTCCGGTGAGTGAAATCTATGAGTTGGAGAAAAGTTTAAAATTTTTTCATAAAGATCCAATCTTGCCTTGTTCAAATTTTAGGATTACAATACGACAATATCTATTCTAAAATCTTGTCTCTTTTTCAATGTGTTACGAAAGATGTAGATACCTAGCCTGATGCTGGGTCATAAATACATAGAACAATGATGCCGTATCTGGCCTGGCAATCCCGGGTTGATTATACTGATTAGAAACTGCCATACACACCCCGCACACTTAAGTGCTGATTACTACGAAGACAGGATTGCAGAAGATTATTACGAGCGTCTTTCGAAGGCTTTTGTCTAATCTCCTGTAGTTGCTAAAGTGAAGGAGGAAATGAGGAAAGCCGACAGAGCGTGTCTGGTGAATACAATGGTGTCACGACCCTGGTCTGATTACCCGGCGGAGAATCGTCCCCGCACCGCCTGATTACTCCTGTTTTACATCCCTCATTTCCCACTACGTGATCGCCCGACTTTTTCATTAATTAAGCGGGCCTGCAGGCCGGCTTAACCTACGGGGACAAGCCACGCCGTTCCCTGGTAGCTCCAACGTGTCTACAATCATTACGTACGCTGCCTAGTTTCTCGCCTATGGACAAGGCTGCCTAACCGATGAAATACTCGTGTGAGTAGGGTAGTTTGCAAAGTAGTCAGTGTTCTAGTTGTTTATCTACATACTGAGTTGAAACCACACTATCCCAATGTATATTGACCCTCTTGGAGCAAAAATTCCCAAAATTCTGACGGAAAATGGCTACTGGAAGGGCCCTTGACTGATTTTTGGGGTACCTCCCAGAAAATATAGGACACTCATCTTGGGGCTTGTTTCTGCAGTAGAAAAAGCCCAAGGTATGAAATACTGACTCAAATGTGCTAATGTGAAGCAGTATGTGTGAATATGACAAAGATTGCCTTATTCAGAATATTTCCATTTTTGCTGCCATGAAATCGCATTGGATGCCTTTAATGTAATATAGAGAGAGCGGTATCTGTGTGTAAAAAAAACTTTCGTATCAAAAAAGGTAGAAGACGAAACACGTTTTATGTCAAATCACCTCTTCTACGATTACGAATAAAAGGACCTGTAGGAAAAGGCCAACAAATTTCATCCTAATTTGTCCATGTTAACCGACAAAAACTTCTATCCTCGTATATATACGTAACACCACAAATGATACACATTCTAGAGAATGAGGGATCAATAAGTTAGAGTCAAAATTAGACGAGAGTAACCACATGTTATATTGTTATCCATTGCCCATTCTTATGTTTACCGAAGGAAAACATATTGTTTTTGCTCAGTTTCTTCCTCCTCTTTTGTTCCAAACACTAACCTCTGATCTGGCCAATGACATGATTTGTTGACGTCTGTCACCATGGTGACTGGCTTTGGGTTACATAATGTTGCAATTTCATGGTCTGCTCTACTCCTGTCACCACATACTCGTAGTACATGTATGTGAATGTGCTTGAGTAAAAATTAACAGGGCAGACCATGTCCGAAGGTAAACATTATGCATTTGCTTTGCAAATGTTACTTCTCTAGTTTTACTTTATTTTCATGTTCCATTTACCTGAAATTAACCCAGGGCAAAAACTTTCAATCAAACTTTCAGATATACTCATTTGTACCGTATAGGACTTACATTAGACGAAATATTACCACAGACGTATCGGTTGATGATGAAAGGAAAAAGATAATCAGAGATACGGATGGTCAATGGTAGAATAAGTCATCATAGATGACGCTAGCTGAGATGGCATAGCAGAGATGACATTGACAGTACAGAGATAACATTGAAGCTGTAGTTTAAACTTTGACTTTGGAGTAGTTTAAACTTTGACTTTGGAATGTCAAAAAGGTGATATATTACACCGCCACATGAATTTAGTATAATATGTACCATCGCTAATGTCAACCTACTACATCTAAGGTTATCCGCAAAATAATAAAAATTAATATCAAGTTTCTACATTTTCTTCCAACAGGCATACATATTATTAAGCAGAAACGAACATATACTTCAGGTGTATCTATATATCCTCTACAATATAATATCTCCTTTGCAAAGTAACGTCGATGAAGGTTAGACATCCAGGTAATACGATACGCCAAAAAGCAGTTATTCGATCAAGCAACTGGATATGATTTTGGAAACGGTCAGACGTTGCAGCTAGTATCCACTAGCTTTCGTCAGTGACTGAGAGACCAGAGGAGAAAAGGCAGGTTTATATAAGCACAAACTATTTATTGATAGTTAAAATGCACGCTAAGTTTGAAAATTCGTTTCGGTGGTTTGGCGAAAGGTTTGATATGTAGAAATGGGATATTGAAATGTCATGTATTCCTCATGTAACATATCACTGCGGGAGAAACTAAAGAATGAATCAATTTTTACTCAAACACATTCACATACATGTACTACAAGAATATGGTGACAGGAGTAGAGCAAACCATGAAATTGCAACATTATGTAACCCAACACCAGTCACCATGGTGACAGACGTCAACAAATCATGTCATTGGCCAGGTCAGAGTTTAGTGTTTGGAACAGAAGAGGAGGAAGAAACTGAGTAAAAACAATATGTTTTCCTTCGGTAAACATAAATATACGTTTCGTTGACTTGGTGAAATGTTTGACATGTAGAAATGGGATATTGTATTATGTATATGTCATGTATTTCTCATGTAACTATCATTGGGGGAGAAACTGAAGTACTTGATAGTCTTATCCAGCTGCTTGTTTTGTCACAATGTATAACCAAATTACACAGATAGAGTCTGGCACAAGATAATGGACCCTGTAAATATCTGGGTTGTACACTTAACTGTACTATTTTTATAGTTTTTGTAAATATATCATATTTTGACATTTTTTATACATGTAAATATCAACGCCATTCAGGCAACATTGTATGCCATGTTTGTCTGTTATGTTTGGTATGTTAATAAAGAATTGATTGATAAATGTAGCTGTTTAGCACTCAGCCGAAGCAGACACTACCAGCAGGCACGGCAGCCCCTATAGAAAACGCTGGCACATTACAGATCCCTTTCTTCTACCCCAAACAAGACCCCGGAGAAGCCCCACGTCAACATTGCTTAGCTGCCGCATGACTATCAGCAAGACTGGGGCATTTGCGACTGAAAGAAGATGAATACAAGCAATTTCATCGTTTCATTACCGCACATCTGCGGTGGGAAAGACGGGTGGGAAAGCAAACGGTCCTCTTAATGACTTTTGGCAGATGAAATGATGCATGGAACTTTATTTGGAATGACCCCTGCTCGCGAAGTGAACTCAAATGAGATGGGCCACATGAAAACAACTATTGAGAAACTGTATTTCGGAAACGTGAGTGTGTGGCTATGCCATCCGGAATGGAGATAAAATCCCTCTCAACGGTGTGGGCTTTAGGCATTGATAGCTTTAAGGAAATGGCGTACTTGACCTTTTACGTAAGTTGACATCTGCACTAAGATGAAGAATTCCCCTCTCCCTCGACAGGCAATCGCTACAGTTGACCATCGTGTCTGGTCATCGTTCAACTACAAAGATGTCTCTTTGGGCTCGCTCATATGGGGTCGTGTGGCGTAGCGGTAGCGTCTTCGGCCCAGGGAGAGGGCGAGGGTTCGAATCCTGCCCGATCCAACCGATGTTGTGTCCTTGGGAAAGGCACTTTACACGACTTTCTTCACTTCACTCAGGTGTAAATGAGTACCTAGCTTCGGTTAGGGACGTCTCTCAGATAGGACGTTAAATGGAGGTCCCGTGTTTGGGAGAGCCGCACCCCACGCACGTTGAAGAACCCACCGCACTTATCGAAAAGAGTAGGGGACCTTCCCGGTGTGAGTGGTTCAAACCTTACAGTCTGGTCTCGGGGTTGACATCTTTGAAGAGGTGATAGTCACCTGTTATGTCAATCCTTCCACAAATGTGGTAAATCGTCATAAAATAAAATAAAATAAAAATATGCGTCTTGCGTTTGTCACACGATGGCGTTCTTGGGACAGTCGTGTATGCGTCCTGCAAAGTTCAGCTGTCTTGTTTCGGTTAGTAGAAATTCTTCGATCAGTGTCTGTATTTTTGTAAGGTAGATTACGTACCTCCAAATTTTCGATGTCCACTGTACATCTTGTTCCTACCTACCCCTACTCCACAAGGAGGCGGGGAAGGCCAGAAGATCCACTCAAGTCTCGACCTAGTCTCGTGTTCTCGCGAGACTAGGTCACTCCGTGAACAAGATGTACATGCAGTGGACATCGTAAATTTGGAGGTACGTTATCTACCTTACAAAAAACAGTTACTGAAAAAAGAATTTCTACGAACTGTTAATACTACGTGACTGATGAACCTCTTCAACGATGTCTTGTTTCGGAATTAAAAGTCTTAGATTTTTGTTGGCGATTGGTTCTGTCACTGCCTCGCCTGCTGGATAATAGGCATCAAAATCAAATGGCGTGGCTTGTGGGAAATGTCAAATATTATCAAAGACGCATATGTGTAGGTATTTAAATATTGTACGTTTCGAAATGCATCTATAACAGCGACACCTGTGCTGCAGTGCAATGTGAACCAGTCAGAATTGCCCTGAGGAAGGTGACAGACGGTCACCGAAACGTTGGCTGAATAAAAGACTTGGTTGTGTAAAAAGAGTCTCTTTACTCATTATCAAAGACGGCAACGTCACGAAAACCACATCAGTTTGCCATAAGATTGACACACCGCAACCATGCGGCTGATTAACACCTAGCATCCCCTGACCATTAAATGTAAGGTAAAGCATGTATAATACTGAAAGAAGTTGAACACCTTACTCAACAACATCTAACCACATCTCTCCTGCTCCAGGGTTCTCCAGCTCATAACTTTGATATAAATACAAAACTCACAGATGCACTCCACATGTTCCTTGCCAAATCAAAAAGATTCTGTGCCTCTTCCAGCTGAGTCACACTAAACACTCAATTGCTGTGCAGTATAAAATTGATTTTAATTCCAGGTGTAAATTATTAGATAATGTTGTTGGTGTATATATCTTGTTCTAACTATGTATTGTTGTTTTTTTACCTCATATGTCCAGGTATGCGTTGGGTGTGCACGCTATCAGCATACTTGCTGTCTAGTGCACACTTTGTATTGTCTTGTTACAATTCTGAATAAATAAATAAATACTGAACGAAATAACAAACGAACTATACATGAACCAAATTTGCACATTATAACATACATAGAGATAGATACTGCTTTTCACAAACCTTGAGTGCATCCCTGAGGGTTCAAAACAAAAATAACGAACATAAAATGTACCGTCCAATTACTGTCTTTTCCATGATAAATATATCTTATCCTTTGGGAAATTCCATGATTCTGCAATACCAGGTAGACTTTCAAAAATATATGCCGATGTAGGTAAGACACTTTTCCTTGTAAATGTACTAAGATACCACACTCTTATATCACTGCAATTGTACCAGATATTTTTTCATCACAATTACCTACTCTTTTCTGCGTAAGAGCATAAACGTACGTACATCAAAAGTATATTATTATCGAAATGCATTTTATCTCCAATTGCCCCTTTAATGACCAGGAAAAAAGCTATTTAAAGTAGACACAAAAAGTTCCAAACGTTTACTGACAAAAAAAAAAAAAAAACTAAAACCCTGTTAACCTCCCAAAACCCATTCACCGCAGAAAAAAGTGGGACCCTTCGTCTTCACACCTTTGACTCTTGTACATTACAACTACTGCTATTATTATTATTAACAGTACTGTTCCTATTATTACTTATATCTTTTTTAGTACAGTTGTTTTCTATCATTTACTTCTTAGAATATTGTTAGTGACATGTTAGTGACATGTTACATGTATTTATTATCTCTTTATTACTTGTATTTTAGATCTCTGTATGTTGTTTTTTTTATCTGGACAGGGGGCGTGGAAATGGCACCTGCCTGTTCCCCCTGTCTTGTCTTTGTGACAAAGCTAACAATAGATAAATAAATAAACAAATAAAGTAATACCTTAGACCATAGAGAACGGAGCCGTCGTGGTGAAGCCGTAACATGCGGTTCTTGACGGTGACTCCGTGAAGGTAGGACTCCTTGTCGTTCAGGAAGTACGTGTCCGGGACCCAGATACTCTCCGCCACCCGGCCGTCCAGGGTCAGGTTGTGGGGCACGCTGGTGTAGGACAGGCGGGGGTCCCGCCACGTCTGCTGGAAGTACATCGTCATGGTGTAGTCCTGGAGGAGAGGGGGGGAGAACTCATTAGAACTAACATTTGCAAAGCCAACAAACATCTCCTAACGATGTTCAGGAGAACTTGCACTTCTTGTTCCGCCGCTCAGAACCTTTCAGCGTGTCCCTAGGTTCTCTTCCAGTTCTCATCAATACACCGTCAACATACCTGTTTCCATGTCATTTTACAACATTTCAACAACAGCTTCTTTCCCCGGGCTGCAAAATAATGGAACTCTCTTCCAAACAGCTGCTTTCCGTCCGATTACAATCCACAAAGCTTCAAAACAAAGGTCCACCGCCATCTCCTGACATAACTACATTATACTCACTTAAATACCTCTAGCTCTATGCCTAGAAGTGGCCAAAAATAATTGGCCTTGCATTGAGCGACACCGTTTAAAAAATGCATAATGTTTACCTTCGGACATGGTCTGCCCTGTTAATTTTTACTCAAACACATTCATATAACGTTACATGTACTACGAGTATATGGTGACAGGAGCAGAGCAGACCATGAAATTGCAACATTATGTAACCCAACACCAGTCACCATGGTGACAGACGTCAACAAATCATGTCACTGGCCAGGTCAGAGGTTAGTGTTTGGAACAGAAGAGGAGGAAGAAACTGAGTAAAAACAATATGTTTTCCTTCGGTAAACATAATGAATGAACTTTATTGCTCGACAATCGTACAAGGTACAATGTGTTGCAGCTACAACAATATTACAAAACTAAAGCAACTTACAATTAATACTACAAACTACTATTAGATACAATATATGAGTTACAATATGGTCATGTATTGATGGTCTGGTCACCCTTCTGGAATGAGGTATACAGAAATTGACCTATGTAGGCGGATATGGGAGCTGGAATTGACAACAATATAGTATAAGGAATGTATCGTTCTGTGTACCAGATAGGGTGAACTTTGTCTTGGTAGTAATAGTCTGTAACAGTGTATCTCTCTGGTATCCTGTCTAGCAAACAACGAGTCATAAGGCCATGCTGATTTGATTATATGGATGACATCCTCTGGGAACCCCAAAACTGATGCGAGCGTGCGAATAACAATAAAAGTTTATAAAAAAAGTTGACTTCGTCATGAAATCTGCATGGTCATGAAGGGTGAACAAATGACTAAACACACAGAGTAATATTTTATTGGCATGGTGAATAATAGACAATCAATCAATCAATCAATCAATACCCTTTATTTATACTGGAAATGCCCTGTCGGCCTTAGCCGCTCTTCCCATAGGTCCAGTTGAGGGGGGTGGGTGGTCACGGGAACACAATAAATAAGTAAATAAAATTCAAATTAATACAAAAATAAATTACTAAATATCTATTACTAATACAAAATAATCACATCTTGTCCAAAATCACAGGCGTCAGACCGAAACATTCTACCACAACAACATTGATCAATGTAACAGACACAATCCTAGACAATATGGACAAAGGGCTTTAGACAGGTGCAGTATTTTTTGGACCTGAAAAAGGCCTTTGATACTGTGTCCCATGAAATCCTGCTTGACAAACTACGAATGAATGGCATCCAAGCCTGATCCATCGATTTTGTCGCTCGGTTGTGTATATATATATATATATATATATGTTACTTTTGGTTATTTTGTTTACTGTTGTTGGTGTTTATGTCTATCTGTACAGGGCACGCCTGTAAAGCAGTATATTGTACTGAGTGCGCCTACCCTGTATAAAGAAAACAGAAATAAATATAAATAAATAAGTCCGCAAATCAGTCCGGAAATCAAATTTCTCGACTACCGTATTCTTTGTTTGAAAGTTCTCACTGATGGAACACACTATATCGGCAGAACTATTTCGTTAGAGGACCTCCAGTCTTATCATCTCGGTGAGCCCCATGTGTCTCCATAAGCCCCACTGTATGATAATGGCGCAGCAGGAAACACAGATGGAGAATCTATCATCATATTATGCCTGGCAAAGCGAATTCCTCAAAGGAGCGTTAATGCTAGAGACTGACACATGGTGTGGAGTACATTATTGATTTCTAACTTTGCAGCCGCCTTAACGTGCTAGATATATCTTCCTTCCAAAACCATATCGTTATGTATCGACTGTCCCAGGGCATCCTCGATACTCCTTTATTGCTGACACAATGTTCCATATGTTGGTTCCAATAAGGCTGATATACATCTGTAATGAGCTAACTGTCTATCCCGGTAGATTTACGGTATGACGGTAATTTTACCGGAACCGGTAAGTCTGATAGGAGACCAGACTCGTGACTGATCAGCGATAGATGTTTGATGTAATGAACATTTTGATCTTATCTTGAAATTTCATCTGTGTTGGTATACGTAGGAGTCATTATGTAACATGTTCGAACTGCTGTTGCCAACACAAGAAATTGGACCCAAATTTTCGACTGTACAACTCCAGCATGAGCAATCCACCACTTCCTTGACGTCACACAGATAACACACGTTACTCCGTGAGCAGGGGGTCATAGGTTGCAGAAAGTCTGTGGCGCCCCCCGTCTCTGTTGAGGGATGGTTGTAATGCCCTGATGTAGATGGCCTCTTTAATCCCTCATTTCGATCTTAATGTAGCTTTGTAAATATTCTAATGACACTATTACTAAGTAATGCTCTAATTACGAAAACCAATCAAGAATGGCCCCATGTATTTACCATTCATAATTTTTTTTTCAAATATGATATCTGAAAACATTTGAATTTGGGGAAGATAAGTTGTGGTGTTAGTCTGGTTTGTTTATATTCGAGCACTGCACACAATTTCTGGTGCTTTTCAGTAGTCTTACCCCTGTGATACATAAACGATAATATCTATACTGCTTGGATGTCATGTGTGCAGCTGAGTGATACCTCCTCCTGCAAGTACTACAGATATGCTTGTTGTTATGTCTCAAGGAAGAGTCAAATATGAAGCGTCGAGTTGTTACAATCTGTATCCCTCGACGCGGTTTCAATGCAGTGAGCGATGTCTGATTTGACTCACTTAGATAGCGATGATAGTGGAATAAACTACGTTTTGTGCGCTGTGGCCGAAGGCGGAAAGAAAAATATGTGTGCCGCTGATGAAATTTGGAAGCCATGTCTGATCTTAAACCACAAAAACACACAGATTATGACAGCATTTCTTAAATTCATGATTATGATAGTATCATTTCCCTCCAGCTGTGTTTTTGCATAATGCCCTTGGCTGTCGTACCCCCGGCAGACGACATTTGCGTTAATAGATGATTTGTGAATGCATCAACAAATGGAGGACAGCCAACGCATTAATGAACAATTAACCTTTCTTCTACGAATGCACAAAAATATTAATTCAGCAGCAATATTAAATATTTTCATGTCAACAGCTTTCTATGCCGTCTCTATAATTAATCGACTGAGTCCAAATATAATTGATCAAACCATGTTTGTGACACCCAATGAACCACAATAGCGAGTGATTGACACCGTACACCTAGCATGGGGAGGGGGGCGTGCGAACCATCATTGGGTAGATATGGGTGAACGCGGAGGTGAGGTACATTGACTAAACACCAGTGAACTTCTACTGAAAGCATTGCTTGGCAGGAACGTTCAGCCTCATGCCTGTACGAAACGCAGTTGAGGGACACTGTAGGACAGAGGTTACTTGATGTGAATTATGCGACATCATTGTTGACCGCTTGTAACACAGGGATTCCCTTTCTAATGATCGCAAGCCTTGGACCGTCACAGGGAAGACCATGAAGAATGCCCACATCGGAACAGGATAATCCACCTCCTACGCAATCCACTTGCAAAAGTTCATTGAGAACATTGTAACTCGAAATGGCCCCTACACTTTTAATACTCCATGAAATTGCTCTAATCTGAACATTTAGGAAACTAGATAGGTCCTATCGACCGCCCAAGCTGACACAGTACATTCAATGTCGTAGTAATTAGCAATCGATATTGTATTTTTGTCTTGGCAGCTGGATGACATAGAATTGGTACTGTATTTTCCATCTGTTCGCACATTACTGACTACAGGACGATGGCAATTTGCAGGAATGAGCTTGTCGATAAGTGTTGATCGTGCTCGTGCAGCAGTTTACCTACTCACATGACTGATTCCAGTTGTTGCACTCGACTTCCACATCCAACTAAGTCGAATCATGTTGAGGTCACATTTACAAACCGGGGCCCGGCCGGACTGTTTCAAATAATGAATAATCAACAAGTTATCACCAAGAGTATACGCAAATTATTCCCATCATTAATTTTTAAAACTTTTTAATGCTTTGTTGTCTTTTATATCATACTTTTCGTTCCATAAGACTGCCCGGCCAGGCCCCGGTTTAGAAATGTGACCTCAGCATCAATGATATTATATAAAGACCTTGGTGGAATTGTTGGTCATAGAATGAAATATTTTCGATAAAACCATTTTAGATATCTCCAGAGACTGTGCAAGGGTAAATCCTCATGCAAAATCGCAAAAAAAACCGAAATTGTAAAATCTACATCTTGAAATTTTGACAACTGCAGCTTCTTCTATACTACAAGATGGCTTACTATAGTCCACAGCTACATGCACAAAGTTCGTGCTCCCAACATCAGCAGCACTGCGATGGCACCAGACCGTGTTTAACGTTTCTACCTCGGCACTGAAACATTCTTCATAAACGTGTTTATGTCCCCGGTAATGTGGACAAAATTTTAAAATCTGCAACTTGAAATTTTGACAACTGCAGCTTCTTCTATACTACAAGATTGCTTACTATAGTCCACAGCTACATGTACAAAGTTCGTGCTGCGATGGCACCACCAGACCGTGTTTAACGTTTCTACCTCGGCACTGAAACATTCTTCATAAACGTGTTTATGTTCCCGCTAATGTGGACAAAATTGTAAAATCTGCAACTTGAAATTTTGACAACTGCAGCTTCTTCTATACAACAAGATTGCTTACTACAGTCCACAGCTACATGCACAAAGTTCGTGCTGCGATGGCACCACCAGACCGTGTTTAATGCTTCTACCTCGGCACTGAAACATTCTTCATAAACGTGTTTATGTTCCCGCTAATGTGGACAAAATTGTAAAATCTGCAACTTGAAATTTTGACAACTGCAGCTTCTTCTATACAACAAGATTGCTTACTACAGTCCACAGCTACATGCACAAAGTTCGTGCTCCCAACATCAGCAGCACTGCGATGGCACCACCAGACCGTGTTTAACGTTTCTACCTCGGCACTGAAACATTCTTCATAAACGTGTTTATGTCCCCGCTAATGTGGGCGTTTAAAACACGTCCAGAGTCGTGACGTGACTGCTACATGATTACTCCTGTCGATGGGCAATCATGGGTGGGAACGATGTTATCAGCCCTTCTTTATGGGCGTGGGGGACCTTTAATCTCCGGGGCATCCATGGAGAAAAGACGGCGGAACCTTCACTCGACCTTTCCAAGCAGAGTTAACAGAGGTAATGCTACATTACAGCATCATTTTTTTCGCGCACCCATACGATCATAATACAATAAAGTAACACAAAGTTCCTAGGAGGTTTTTTTTATAGTATTCTCTTGAGTTTGCCCCAGTTACTACTCAACTTATCCTATAAAGTAACGATAAAATGTTCGGTATTGTTGTAATGTGTCAAAGAAATATATATTTACTGCCTTTGGAAGTGTCTATTTTTATTCATCTGGATCTCTTTTATTGCAAAATTTGCCTATGCTCGGCTACACTCATCTGACTGGGAGTAAGCATAAAATTTATGGAATCACCGGTTGAAACGACCGTAGCCGTAACACGTCAGTGCGGGAGGCAATTTCCCATAATAAATGATAAACTCCCCGTGCTAACTATAGATGTGAGATGGCTTCTTTGATAAGTCGTCAAGCGGTGAATAAGCAAGGATAAACGACCAATATGATACTGTCTGTGACAGCAGATTTGAAGATGTTGATGTATACTGAAGATGAAACCATAATAACTCTGTACATGTCAACTTGTTAAAAAAGAATATTGAATAATTCCATTACTTCTCTCGTCAACAAGTATAACTAACACTTAAGACATATTCTTGCTGAGAAAATTTAAACTAAAGTGACAGTCTCGAAATTGTAGATGCCAGGAACGCCAAGTAATTTCTCTTTGTCCTGTGATGGCCAATATCATATAATATGTACGTCTATAGACACCCAACATACTTTATTTATCATGTCAGCTCTTTTGTCTATGGTATGATAATAATTATAATAATAATAATAATAGTGATTTTTAAATTTATCTTGTTGTAGACAAGTTGGGATCGGTTTTAACTTTAAAGACATACCAAGAAATAATTGATATGTGGAGAATGTGTGTTTTTTTACATGTAGCAATTTCGTTTATACACAACAAAATTGTACTTACTTCGTATTACATGTCTATAAGAAAACAACGAACTAGTAATAGCGAATCCGACGAAAGTTATGTGAATGGTATCTTTCGATCTAGAATGAAAATCATGTTTTGTGCTAGTACTTTCTTATTCAGTGATAATTTATGACAGTTGCGTTGCGACGTTTTCAGTTCACAACAACAACAACAACAACGTCGTCTTTTCAACTGCAACCCTAGAAATGTACATTAGAGTTGCTTCACCACAGTAGGCCGTACTTCGTACATAATCCCAACCCTGTTTTGGCTTCTTCTAGATATATGAGGATTCATCTGCTAGAGATCCAGCCTACTCCATCCAATGGATTTTTCCACACTAAATTCTGAAGCTCCGCGTACTTAGACCGGCAGGAGGAGATGTGTCATCATGGGCATCAAAGCAGTCTGCCTCCAAAGATCACCCCAACACGAGATCTGCACGTCCAGAGATTGACAACAGCACGACGATCAGGCTGACATTCTCACTACTCAAGTATAATTCTAGAACCACGCTAGCTCTTCAAAGCCCTTCCGGTGTAAATGCGATTGTGAGAAAGACGGTGATCTGTTTTGCCTGCCTGTGTACGTGGTGGTAGAGCTGGCAACCCCTGATAGCGCAACTGCTAATGGCAGGGAATCTACCCGATGGGTTTGACAAGTGGCCACATCAGATAGTAGCGACTAGCAATAATGTCACACGTGCGGATACGCTTCTATGACATGTCAGACATCTCAATATGCTCAACAACATTGCCACATTGTAAAGAATGTCAGATTAACAGTTAAACATATCAGATTGCTGTTAACTGGAACTCATTGAGCATAGCAAGAAGTTTCTTTTCCATGGTAATGCGATACACCAGATACAACAGAGAAAGATAACCACATGTAATCATAGCTCTAATGTCTCAAAATTTAGCGTATATATCACACAAAGTCTTATTTGTTACTGGTATTAGGTGGAAGCTATGAGAAGCACGTTAGATACCGACTTTTAACTAAGTCTGCTTACATTGCAAAAAGTAAACCTCTTTTCCTAGAGGAGATCTGTAAGTGGGTGACAGAGTGCCAGCTGCAAAATTCCCGTTAGAGACAGACTGAAGAATTGACTGTATTGTTATACAGTATTTTGACTAAAAGATATCCTATCTGGAATTCAATTAATCCCATGTATATTGAAAGGAATGTAATCTTTCTCCTGTAAGTGTTCGTAGGCCCTATACGGATCCAGAGTGTAATTGAGAACAAACCTGGTAATCTTATTTGAGAGACTTCATGTAAATATATTATTTCAGATAATGTATTATTCTGTTCACTACAGAAGAAACTTACTATGTTTCGAATTCCACACAATGGATTGTTTGGAACAGCATAAACAACGCGAATAACATAATTAACGGATCAAAATGCTAGGAAAATTAGGAAGAATATCACAATATTTATTATTACCATTTGATTTGTTACGGTAACCATTATTACAGTTGTCAATTTAGTCGGGGGAAGATCACGGACAAGCCATTATGGCTTCTTATCTTTCCCCTGCATATCCTATTTTACTGTAATATGTTCATTTTATCGTTCTTCTCTCTGATTATATGCGAATAAACAAACAAACAAACAAACAAACAACTTCATAATGCAAACCATTTCCTGATATACCAAAGTGTGACAAATCTATATCATAACCTTGATGCTGTGACATATTTATCAATTTGATTTTTCAAAAAGGAACTGTAGTATTCGTTTGGCAAAGTTGAACTCAAGGCTGGTTTGTCGCCGTAAACATATATGTTACAGTCTGTTCCACTGGGAATATAGAATGCTTTTTCGGCGTCATTCAGTCGTGTTCACTGGTGATTGCATTATGACAAAAGCCCACCGAATCCACAAATTTGGTATCATTGCTATACCGAGTAATATCTGTGGTATTGTTCTGATAATTCCCTCAAAGCACAATGCTGCTAATATGATAACTCTCCTGCATTATGTGCAATGTATCTTCAGTAACGTAATTTTCATGAGAGAAAAAAATGTATACACCACTTAGGCATGTCTGTTTGAATCAGTCGTAATAATGCTAATGCGAAAAAGATTGATTACCAGTATGTTCCAATTTACCTTCAGGGCAAAACATCTCTTTGTTAAGCGTACCGTCTACGATGGTTTTTAAATCTAAAACTTCCCAAAGGGGCCTTCTCTGCCTTTTCCATTTCTTTATTTCATGTAAAAAAAAACCATATAACACATGTACCAAACATCATTAAAATAATACAAAAAACTCTACAGACATACAAATAAAACAGGAAGAAACCTAAAAGCATAATAAATGGTAGGTCTTCCGAAAGAATGAATTCCTGTAAAAGGCATCGGAATGTATTAGGCGACAGATTGTTGCGTTGTTGGAGGAAAATAACCTTTTTAGAAAAAAATAACAAATTCTCCTCCTGGTTTCAAAAGTGTCAATATAGTTACAGACAAACATTTCACTCGCACTGCACTTTTAACCTTCATTCTCTAAATGTGGGAATAGCAGAATCTGATCACCCTAAACATGAACAACGTCATTGGTTTTTGTCTGGTTGAAAATCGTAAGTTTAATCTGCATGTTCTTACTACACTGTAGAATATATTCACAGCCTATGAATGCGAAATTGTTGTGATGAGACTTGGAACTAGGCTTTCTGTGGTGGCTGGGCAGCGTTCGGACTACCAAAAAACTAAGTGAACTTTGTGTGGCTTGCTTTAGCGTTGTTTACATGTGGGAAAATTATATAGACTATGCTGAAATAGTTGAAGATGTCAATTCAAAGATTTTTTTTCGATTCAGAATATCTGACCTACCTCAAAATGTATAGCATCACGTCTAAGCAGACGCTAGGTTATATACCGGTAAATACCAACATTGCCGACATACACACCTATTGTATCGATTTGTAAATCACAACAATGAAGTAAGTAACAGTGAGGGATGCCTGTCTTTATAATGTGGGTCATCTTGTCTCTGCATCCACTCATTGAATCTAGTCCATGTCAAACATATACCTTATTGGTCAGTATTTGCAAACTCTGTACATACAGACCACAAGGAGTATTTGAGAGAGCACCAAGCAAAAAAAGGGCCTCATCAAGAGGAAGAAAAGCAATAACGCAGATCAGCTGAAATGACATGCCTGTATCATGCTGTGCCATTATTACCGACCATAATTTGTTGGCCCCGAAGCCTATAAATCTGGTGGATAATACAGTGGCCTGTCACCGGCCCTGCGGTAATTTTATTAACTGCAATGATGTAGAGGAACGAATCCTGTTAGGGGCATTAACAGATCCTTTGCTCTTACCGAAGCTAAGTAAGCAGCCGACAACATACCGTTTAGTCATAGATGAGCGGGTATATCGTACCCCTCATGACCACTGAACACGACATACAAAAAAAAACTACTGACGAAACTAGAGCAGGAAACACTTACCATGTTAACTTCCGATATGCTGTCAATACTGGCGATTTCAATAGACATCCCGATGGAGAGGGGGTCCCCTGTATGGGTAAACAAGTTGGTGTCACTATTGTGGTGTCATGTGCTTGTATACATCTCTCATGAGAATGACACCACTTCTGTCAATACGTTATTGCTTCGTACCGGCATGTAATACAGACTTGTGCCAATGTGGATTAAAATAAAAACAGTTCTGTAAATGTACCAAATCGTGAAGAGAGAAAAAACAGTTACCGTATTCTTACCTGCAAAATCTGGTCTGAGTCTGATGTCGTACCCATGTAGGATCCCCCTCACCGTTTCCGTTACATTGGCCAATCGCTGATACTCCTCGTTTAACCTAGGGAAAGAAAGGGAGAGAGAGACAGGTAGGATGAGTTACCGAAGCCGATTTTCGTGTCTAGAAGATAACGGGTCGTGACAGCAACGTTAAGCGGAGACAGTCGTACCTTACGACCGGGAGAATGGTCATCATGACTGCGGCCAACAGGGCTAAGTTGTGAGATATCCTAAGCCAGGGTCTAATCATTCTGGACCTGACAGACTCTCCCGAAAAATCAGCGCCGTACTCTGCGGCACAACATGGTCCAAGTTATCATCTCCAAGCGCACGCGCGGTGTGGTGTGTGTGACGTGAATACCAAATCAGCCAGTAGCGCGGCGTCCTGTCCCGAACGCCAGGGCGCGAAGTCTGCCTGTCCGGTCCAGTCCACACACCGCTCCCTCAGCCTACTACTAACCCCCGCCAGAAGGACAGGCATCAATAGCTGATTAAGCTCTTAAGCGCTGAATGGTGGGTGACTACGTTAGTATTCATTTTCACGCCCTCGTTTCCTCAAATCTGCGATTGCATTTTACTACATTGTGAACTCGCTGCATTAATTGCGAAGAACAAAACAGTTACTACTAGGACATCATGTTGTTCTGTGATAGCATCATGGCCTATCTACCTCTTCCCGCTTCTGGTGTGTCTTTCTTTCTTTATCTCTTAACGGTAGCAAGGCGTTTTGTACAGTAAACATATCCTGAAGTCGTCGTTCCATTACGCTATCGTCCGCTCCGTAGTGTTTTACTTCACGCCAAATAAAGCCGTGGATTATCATCAATAACACTTCAGAAAAGCACACCAACAATTTTCAGATTCCCTGGCATTGCCGCGTACACCGTGGTACACTCTCGGTATCTATCGCTGGCCATCTTCACTCGTGAGGAGTGTACTCTGCTAGTATGCAATCTGTGCATTCCATCGGTGTCGTGTGTTGATGATAAAGCCCTATTGGCGTATGTCTCTGGGCTAAAGGGACGGCTGAATCGTTGCGGATGCGGTCCCCAGGCCAGGCGCGCACAGCTAGCGGCTAAACAGGACCACATTATCTCCGCCAAACGTCCAGCCGAGTCAGTCGGGAAAAGTGTGCCTGTGGGGATACACCGTGCATTACCCAAAACATTTTTCTAATAGCTTTTCCCTCCTCAAAATCGATATTTTTAACACTTCCAGGTCAAGGGATACAATATAAGATAGCGCAACAGCTCCCCTTGACACACATCATTTTCTGAAGACATCGTCATTACTCATTAGTAAATGACACGTTACCACAGAAGGAAACCACTGAAACATGACTGTGTATGTTTAACGCTATCCTCTGGGATACCCTTTCTGGTCATCAACGTTGAGTTTCACAGCCTTTGCTTGTTTAACGGTTAAAAAAACACCACTGTACACATGGCCACTGTTGTAATTGACGACAAACACAACATACATAAAGGATGGATAGGTAACCTAGAATTAAAATTCTGTTCTTTAGACTCAGAATTAGAGAAAAAGATCTGGGGAGCCTCCGTATGAAAAGCACATATAGAAGCACATATACTGGCACGGGTCTGTGAGAAAATTTCTGCTCGCTGGGCACGATTTGATTTATTAGATGACGCCAGTGTTACAGCCATTTTTCTCATCAGTAAACTCCACTGGGATGCTTCCTTACATTTGTCAAAAGTCATTAGCCACGTTAGGCCTTATCTCTCCGTTAAAGGTCGCCCCATTCTCCAGTTTATGGCCCTCAAACTGACCAAAAATACTCCCTATTTCCGTAAGCGAATGGTTGACCACAGATGAGATGAAGTTACGAATAACACCTTTTTGAGCTGGTAAACATTCCGTTTAGCCTCTAATCTTCCAAAGGCTTAAGATGAGCCGACGAGGTGGTCATCTTTGCTATATTTAGATGATTGGCGTAGTTGGACAGTCGGTTCAGTAGATAGAACTACCTTAGCTGATTTTTCATTGCACATTCACACACACACGCACACAGGTAGTTCTACTCGGTGGCATGTCCGCACTCCATTCAGAATAAGTGGATAGAATGGCCAGAGGCGCTTTTTTGTAACATCGCTCTCTCACGAGGATGGATCCCGCCAACGAAATCAAAACGCAATGGAGTGTGCAAGTCATGCTAGCGAAAAGAGGCCGTATATATCAAGGGACAGAGGAGTGTAGCAATTATTTACGCCAAGTCTGGTCTAGTATACGTACGCCATCTCGTACTGAATCCCCTGCACATGCGTACTTTTATGTTTTTCAGAAGAGATCTCTGGTAGGACGCATGTGTGGAAAGATGTCGGCCCCTCTGTGGTCTGTTGTGACCGTTTGCTGCGCCTTGATCGCACACTGGGACCTAAGGTAGGTGACTACATGATTGTACACACGTTCTGTTTCAATGAGGTTGATAATGCTGCACTGTAACAATCATATACCCTTTAGGACTAATTATAAGCACAGGCATAAACATACTACTAGTAGCAACGTGCGTACATTGAATGACAGGACTTGTAATGGTAATATAGGTTCTAAAACTACTACTTCTTCTGGTGTCTTGATGATGTTGTGTTTCAATAACGATAGATAATGCTGCACTACTGCACTGTACAATCATATACCCTATCTTACTAAGTACAGGCATAAACATACTACCAGTAGCAACGTGCGTACATTGAATGACAGGACTTGTAATGGTAATATAGGTTCTAAAACTCCCCTGACACAGAGTTTACAATCTTCTGGTGTCTTGGTGATGAGGAGTATGTTTCGTACAGTTGTGTATGTCAATGATGGGACCAGGTGTCCTATTAGGGTATCAGTGAACTTGTGTGTGATATAATCAAGCCTTGTCTCCATATCGCGTACGGTAAATCAGGCTGGATTAATTTCTGCGCATTGTCTGATCCAGGCAGATTACCAGTCACCGTGTCCTGTGGGGCTTCAGCTAAGTACAATCTAGCGAAGGGCCTGGTGGTGCATTGATTAGATGTGATGTAATGTCACCTTCCACATCATGCGTATCTACTACCACAGGATATGGGTAGTTAGGATGCTCAGTACAGCTAGTGAACATGCTGATAATGATATGATATGAATCTTTATTGCATGTTCTTGCCCAGATGGGCTAAATGCACAAATGTGACCAAATGTGGTCGAGAGGATAAAAAATATGAGTATATTGCATACTGGAACGCTATATTCTAATGAATGAAAGACCTTTATAGTACATTTTTGCGAACTAAGTACAGATCACGGCAAATAGCGATGGCAGACTGAATATATGCTGGTTGAGCAAATTTATCATATATGGAATACAAGAGTTCTGGTATCTGTTGGTTCTAGTGGTGGGAATGTCTAGTTTGTGACCGTTGCGGGTCACTCTGCCAGAAATCTGGGCCCTGTGTAGCGGCAGCCAGGCTCTAAAATCTAAGTTCATCAGGGAACGAGCAAACTTAACACTGCACGAAATCAGCTAATTAAGCAGTCTTAAAGCATGCTTAAAGGTTCCGTTTTGGCACTCTTTAAGCAAATTTAAGCAATCTTTACGCGTGCTTAAATATTACTTTTAAGCTAGCTTTAAGTTTGTGCGTAAAGTGCTTAATGGCACTCTTTTAAGCAACATTTAAGCACCGTAAAGTGAGCTTAAATATCAATATTTACGCTACATTTAAGCGTCTTGAAGTGTCCGTAAATCCGTACAGGTAAGATGTTACTGGCGAACTCTTGGTTAAGTGGGTGGGGGATGGTACGTTACTCTCCCCGTGACTGCCGGGTATTTACCACTAATCATTCTCAAGAAGTGCTTATGGAGGCAAATTGCAGTAACCGTGCCTTCTCTGAGAGGATTTTCCTTGGATTACGCACCAAACGCCTGCATAGGTGGATTTCCCAATAAATCTGTTAAGGTATTGACTAGAACCACTTGAAGAACTGTCTATAGATGCGCCCAAAAGCAGTTACTCAAGCAACTGGATATGATTTTGGAATCAATAGTTCGTGCTTATAAACCTGCATGTCTCCTCTTGTCTCTTATTGTCACTGACGAAAGGTAGTGGTGGATGCTACCTGAAACGTCTGACCGTTTCCAAAATCATATCCAGTTGCTTGAGTAACTGTTTTTGGGTGTATCTTACCTGGACGTCTAACCTTCACCGACACGGTCTAGATGCATCCACGGTATTCAATATTTCTCCTCCGGTCCTGCTGTAAACTATTTACTAACGGTATTGAAATCAGTTGAACAAGTGGAAAGAAAAGTGAACAGCAATAGGCGCTTATCATTGTCTAGTACAATCCATTATGAAATGGTGCTCATTTTCAATCATGTTTGGATTCAAAACATGTCGACCTCGGCGATCTCTCGGCGCTCTCTCCGCGCTCTCTCCGCGCTCTGACCAATTTCAGGTCGCAGAGAGAGAGCACGGTGAGAGCTCCATCCTAGTGGAATGGGGGGCCTTACTGCATACTTCCACAGCGACTGACCCATCGTTCTCTCTCCCTCCCCAGCTCGGCGCAGTTGTTGAACCTGACCGCTGCCAACTCTACCGAGTCCCCGTCCACCGAACCCCGGTCTCTCCAGGAGAACATCACCAGTATTCTGGACGAACTTATCGACGGGTACGACAACAGGATCCGGCCTGGGATAGGCGGTACGTACTTTTTTCTATAATGTTCTAACGCAAACAATAGCCTGGGTTGTAACATTACAATAACACTACTGGCTAATTGAAGTCTTCATCGACAACGATGGACAATTAAGACTGGCTAATCATTGGTCAACAGCAACTGCAAGGTTATAGCTATATAACTACATGCAGAAGTCCTGGTGGTGGAAAGAAGATGCCAGTGTACTCTTGTTTTGAATGACTGGAGGTTGTTGTAAGTGATCAGGCCGGCCACGTCAAGATGCCGAAAATGGGTAAATATGTCTGTTGTCATGCCTGAACGTGGATGACAGATAAATGTGAAAAGAGAAGACAAGGAAAGGATCTGATTTATTAAATCGAAATTTATTGAATCTGAATCGAAAGAACTCTTGTTTAACAACATTTATGACCTCAAAATTTGAAAATACAGAAACCCTTTTTTTAGCCCGTCTTGTTTTTTTTCGCATTAGATTTGGAGTCTGCGGAGGATGTCATCCATAAAATATACTTGCTGTGGCCTTACTTCAACGTAAACACCTGCGTTAGTTAACACCCATGCCCAGTGCTCTAATCTAATCTAACATTGATAAATGGGGATAAAATAGAAGGGGATAAGAATGTAAAGATTTCTTGTAACAAAGCTGTCTATTATCATGAAAGTTCATCTGTTTTGGTAGTTACATTTTTACAGTTAAAACTTCATATCCAACACCAAAAATTCTCCCACCTAGAGCTTTCGACCAGTCACTCTGGTCTTCCTCAGTAGACTGACCCAGTGAGGCTTGTCACTTGGCTTCTTTGAAGTGTGACGTCAACACTGGGTCAAAGGTATCTGGTAGACGATGTCGGCCCCCGTCGCGGTTAAGTGAAGGGTGATGGGCCCTGATGTAAGCAAATAGCCTCATTCCCCCTCTCAGGAAATAGTCTTGTTGTTTGCCGAAGGAAAGCATATTGTTTTTACTCAGTTTCTTCCTCCTCTTCTGTTCCAAACACTAACCTCTGACCTGGCCAATGACATGATTTGTTGACGTCTGTCACCATGGTGACTGGTGCTAGGTTACATAATGTTGCAATTTCATGGTCTGCTCTGCTCCTGTCACCACATACTAATAGTACATATATGTGAATGTGTTTGAGTAAAAATTAAAAGGGCAGACCATGTCCGAAGGTAAACATTATGCATTTGCTTTGCAAATGTTACTTCTCTAGTTCAGTTGCCTATTCTTAGGGTTTCATCTTCCTCCCACATACCCACCCACCCACCATTCTGCACAGATGTAGACGTTATATCTCCCACAGGAGGATAAACTTTCTGACTCTACTCCCACGTCCACAAGCTGATGCGATCAAAAAGTTGCCGAAAAGTCTGTACAAACATGACGTGATGCTCCCTTTGGTTTTACCACATATTGGAATAGATAGCCACCACGGATTTCGTATGGATTTTGCTCATTGTAGCATCAATCTCAACATTATGGTGGGCTTTGGGATGTCATGGCTAAATAAAATACGTCTGGTCTTTGCAATTTTTTGCTTCTCGTCGATGATTTTATACATGTATATAAGGCCAGTGCACAAAAATTCAGGTAAGATATGTATTACATCTAGAGCTGTGTACTTAAAAAATTCAGGTACAGGTACATGTGCATGTACATATACATGTACATGTACCCTAAAAATCAGCCCAGGGCCCTTCCAGTAACCATTTTCCGTCAGAATTTTGGGAATTTTTGCTCAATGAGGGTCAATAAACATTGGGATAGTTTGGTTTCAACTCAGTACGTAGATAAATGGATAGAATATTGGCTTTGAAAAATCGGGTTTCCAAGCCCTAAAAACTGCACTGGATGCCTTTTTTAAAAAGTGTTTCAGACGTTTTGTAGAACAATATAGTAGTGTTACCAATAGACACTTGTGTCGAACCCAACGTACCACATCATGACAGCTGGTGGTATATCGACTGATCTCTCTGTGGCCTTTGGAGTCACCGAAAATTGTTTGAAATGGACCCGCAGTGCACAACCTCCCACCTATGTACCTGACTGATCGATAGTATATTATTACAGGTCTTCACATAATGTAAAATCGACTACGTGCATTTGTTCTATGATGTGTAATTTCCGTATGGCATGCATCGAAGAGGTTGGGTACCCCAGGCGTGCCTGTGTGATACGATACAAGTATAGAAAACTTCTATCTATCCACTTAGTAAGATTGCTTATTTAGCAAGATAGCTAATTTAGCACATACATACATAATGAAAAATTATACAAAATAATACAAAAGAAATAAATGTGCAAGGGCAGGAAGAAAAGCCGCAATTGCTTATTTAAAGTCCTCCTCTTCATGATTTTACAATTTCTACAGTTGTTGAATGAAATATAAATCATCATCATCATCATCATGCCTCCGGATTATACTAATCCGGTGAGGTACACTTGATAAAGTTACTCCAGTATGTCCTGTCTCTCATAGCGGACACTAATGCAGACCCTGCGAGACCAGTGTCTCTCTCTAGCATGGACAACAGTGTAGTATAAGCACGTCCCACTCTAAAATAAGTATAAACAACAATGGAGAAGTAATAAAAAGATTTTAAAAAACAAGAAGAATGAAAAAATGGATTAATTTAACAAAATAATTAAGTTTATCATAAGTAACAAAATACGGCGAGCCAAACTAGATAAGTAGGATTGGCTAATTTAATGATTTGCAAATTTCGGCCGTTTAAAAAGAAACGTTTTCAACCATACTGTAAAACGTACAAAATGAGCAAAAATATACCGTAAGTTGCAATCAAATATATGAAAACGATACAAATGTCGTAGAATGCCAAAATCAAACGAAAAAAAGACAAAATGTAAAGAAATTACATGTAATTTGGATAACTATGAAGAGAGGAGACAAGAAAAGGCTCTGATTTAATGTTTTGTTTCTTACATTGATGCAGTGATATGTGATGCTGCCTGTGTATATGTGATGTTCCCACTGAATTAAAACCATTTATACAATGATTGAATCAAAACTGTAAATTGTAGGAACCTCGTTTTTTCGCCCGCTCGCATTAGATTCGGAGTCTGTGGAGGATGTCATCCATAAAATTTACTTGCTGTGGCCTAACTGCTGAAAACATCGATCAATAATATCACATTTCAGAGTAAAATGTGTCTTTGCCAATACATTACATTGTACATCATCTGGAATAATCTGTTAAAATTTCTCCATCGGTTGCGATTCAATTCATTAACATAAGACCTTTCGCCCCGACCCCACCTTTTGACCGTTGTAATTTAAACTTTATCACCAGAGGGTATGTAATTCACTAAGGCCACACAAATTTAATTGGTTGTTTCTCGGATTTTTTCAGAAAAAAATATGAAGCGACAGGGCGAAAAAAACAGGCCAAGGCAACCCATCTTAGCCGGAAATGTTACAATATGAACCATGAGGTCAACATACCAGGCTGGTACAATAGATTTTGAACTTTCAATAAAACAATATTGTATTGTTACATTGAAAAACTTTAAGAACTACACAGAGCATCTCGCGGCACATCTAAGCAGTGCATCTACATCTACACATCTTTCCAGGGCAGCTAGTTACCCACAAAGAGCATCTACACATCTATATAATCAGTTTATCATCTATACATCTACATATCTGCTCAGCATATCTACACATCTACTAAGCGTATCTACACATCTGATCAGTGCATCTACATCTATACATCTTCCCAGGGCATTTACCCGTCTATAAAGAGCATCTACTCTTCTACTCGTATATAATCAGCGTGCCTATCTATACATCTACACATCTATTCAGTATTTTAAGTATCTACATATTTATAGCTACTCAGGGCATCTACACACCATGTACATCTACACATCAGCTTGAATATACATTGTGTGTACATGGCCAGGTTTGGGGCATGGTTTTCAATAGTATGGTTTTCAATAGAAAGTGTCATCTTTGCCTGTGAACTGTGCCAAGCGATCTGTGACGCTGGACAGAAAACGGCCTATTTCCAGCAGAAAGAAACTGCTATGTGACTAGTTTCATGCCGAAATGTGTCTCGAAAAGGAATTGTCTCCTTTTCAAAACATATATCCAGGCGTCTATGGGTTATTCAGTGTATAGGGACTGAAATGATGGATCCAAATCTGTATCTGTATCATTCTGTATTAGTATAGCCTGTATAACCAACCCTCGGCGTAACTCACCAGCTTCGCAGGCACGCGGCGCGGCGGCAGCTAGCTATATCACACCGAACGACTTGTTACACTCATTTGATTGCAGGAGTTGTTTAAAGCTTTCTAGTGATGATGCCCCAACTGTGCTTGGTGGCAACGAGTTCCAGTCTACGATAGTTCTGGGGAAGTACGAGTTTTTGAACACCTCAATTCTTGGTTGATAACTCTGATATTTGAAGGCATGGCTGTTTCTTGTTCTTTTCTGGGCTGGTACGTCCACCAGTTTATTAGTCATTTTGTACATCATGCACAGTCTGGACATTCTTCGTCTGTCTTCAAGCGGCCCCCAGTTTCCTTTCATTTCCGTTACACTAGCACCCCTTTTGAAAGTTGTTCATGCAGAATCTTGCAGCTTGGTTCTGTTCTAAAATCTGCTACTAACTTCTGTTGGATAGTCACACGGTCACATAAACCTATTATCGGACTAAAAGGTAACGTTTGGAAAGAAATCATCATGTTTACCTTCACATGGTCCACTTACAAACTTACTGCTTTGTTTATTCTTACTCAAACACTTGTTTAAAGCTTTCTAGTGATGATGCCCCAACTGTGCTTGGTGGCAACGAGTTCCAGTCTACGATAGTTCTGGGGAAATACGAGTTTTTGAATATCTAAATTCTTGGCATGACTGTTTCTTGTTTTTGTCTGGGCTGGTATCAGATATTACCTTACTATACAGGAAACGCCTGAGGTGATTTCACTTACTGCCATCCCTGGAGGATTGGGTTTAAGAGTCTTGCTATTTGGATACATCCCAGAAAAGCACATAAACCTGGAATAAGGGCACATAAAAACGGCTTCTGCAGTACACGACAAACCCATGAATCACAGGATCTAGGAAAAACTAGATACGATCTAAAAATGCACGTATGGAACAGCTCTGGGCGATTATCTTGTATGACATGTTTCATATCCAGGCCTGTCCAACGGTGATTCGACTGTCCAGGTTGTCTTATAGCACCGCTTTACGTAATTGTCAAGGGTATTCAATGGGAACTCGAACTGACAAGTCGTCGTTAGGATGGATTAACATGCCAGAAACATTGAAAATATGCTAAAAGTACACCGAAAAATTATTCCCTATTGCCTATCCCTGAGGCCAGTATGCACCACCACTGAGAGGACATATATCAGGAGTACACTTGTAATTCCAAAACCTTCGCAGAGTGTATGTTAAGGGATATATCAGAATGTTTCCTAACATGAAATTAAAGGCATCCAATGCGATTTCAGGGCAGCAAAACTGGAAATATTCTAAAGAAGGCAATCTTTGTGGTACTGACACATACCGCTTCGCATTAGCACATTTGAGTCAGCATTCCATACTTTGGGCTTTTATAACTGCAGAAACAAGTCCCAAGATGAGTCCTTTATTTTCTGGGTGGTACCCTAAAAATCAGCCCAAGGCCCTTCCAGTAACCATTTTCCGTCAGAAATTTGGTGATTTTTGCTCCACGAAGGTCAATACACCTTGGGACAGTGTGGTTTCAACTCAGTATGTAGAATATTGGCTTTGAAATATCGGGTTTCCAAGATTTAAAAACTGCACTGGATGCCTTTATGTAACGCACTAAAATGTCTCCTCTATGTATAGCCTACTATGGCCTCAGCTGAAGCCTACGGTGAAAATAATGTCCTTTACCTTATTCATCGACCACAAGTGGCGAAGTTATACTACTTATATATTGACCGTTTTCTCAGTGGGTGACAATCAATAGTGTATCGGTATCTAGTTTTTATCACAAACCATTCAACTGCATCGATTTTGTAATCTGTTATACGTGTTGGAGCGATAATAATCGGTTTAGAATGTGTTATTAGAAAAGCACAGACATTTTCATTTATTTATTTATTTATTCAGCTTTACAGAAATTAAAATTCTGAGAGGAGCCGGCAACCGGAACATAGAGTTCCTCTACTAGGCCGACTCCTATAGAAAGATAGAAACAAAAACAAACAAACAAACAAACAAACAAACAAGCAACAATTCAAAATGATGATAACAAACCTATAAGCACCTAACAAACAAGAATTCGGAGATCTCATACCTCCATGAAATATATGAGTTTTTCTAAATGTTTTTACACCGTACACTACAGTACAGAACAAAATAACACAGGTTTTTGTTTTCAAACCTTTATTTGTCCTGAAATAGGTCAGGCTGTAATAGATATTGTACAAGTAGCCTTTTCCATAGGGAGAACCTCGTTAATCATCCCCCGCTGCCTCCACACGTGTGCTGGTGTTTTGTTGCATAACCGCACATCTGTTTTCCCTGCCTTGCAAAAAGAAGTTATGCTGCAGTACCAAGGTCAGCCACCAGGAGGCCCATATTTGAGCTTGACCTTTGGCTTCCTAAGACCTACCAGCATACCAAATATCATCACAATCCATAAAGGCGTTCTGAAGTTATGCTGACTACAAATGTGCGGAAACACACACACACACACACACACACACACACACGCGCGCGCGCGCGCGCGCGCGCGCGCGCACACACGCACACGCATGCACACACACACACACACACACACAGAAACGCGCCAAAAACAATACCTCCATTATTCATGGAGGTAACAATACGTCGATAGTACCTGATCCAGTTATCTGTTGCCTCAGGCCGGACCCTTGTTCAGTAGACCAGAAGTCAACCTAGCCTTGGATTACGACTATAGGGAGCTGACAATGGGGGAAATTACCTGGTCCAGAAAATTACCTTAGTCTACAGCTGATTACTATCGCTATAAACATTACGGCAGAGGGTGAACCGCGATCGGAAAATGCACAAATTCCAGAGAATGGCCAGGCTCTGTTTTTTTAAAACTTGCACTCTAATTACCCAAAGCCTTCCATCCATTCCAATTAGTATCTCCACTTTTTGCACATATTGCTGCTAGGTAGGGAAGGTCTTGATTTCTTATATTCTGTATTATAGTACTGTACTTTCATTCGTAGCGAAGGGAAGATGACAGACTCGAGACGGTATTCGACCGGTTTCGACTTTAATTCAGTCTTTATCAAGAATCATATAGTACTGTACTTTGTAACCAGTTATAATATGTTATCTTTATTTCAGGTCTTGCATTTGTAGCAGATTTCTTATTTGCATATGTGGGTTATCTAATACCAGTGACCACTGCCTTCTTCGATAACCTGTGTCTTGACCTGTTGTCATTGCCAATAAAGAAAAAAAGAAAAAGAAAGGCTCTGTTCGTTTGAGTGCTTCAAAACCAATGTTTATTTTCGTAATGATGTCAGCTTAGTTTTAAAAATAAAGAATGAAAAAAAACGTATGGAATGCCTAATTGAATAGGAAATTTTGATGTCTTCCGGGAAGTATTTTTGGACTTTCCTTTTCCAGGACTGAAACAGGAAACACAATTTTTTCCTAGGCCTTACAAACAGCCTCCTAAGGCCACAGCACATGAATTTTATGGATGGCATACTCCACAGACTCCAAATCTAATGCGAGCGGGCGAAAAAACAAACAAGACGGGCCGAAAAAACATTTTTAAATTTTGACTCAATCATTGTACAAATGGTTTTGATTCAGTGGGAACATCATATATACACAGCCAGCATCACATATCACTGCATCAAAGTAAGAAACAAAACATTAAATCAGAGCCTTGTCTTGTCTCCTCTCTTCATAGTTATCTGCCATCCACCTTCCGGCATGGCAACAGATATCTTTGCCCATTTTCGGCATGTCGACCACTGTCAGAAGGCAACAAAATTTCTTGTTTTCTTTTTCAAAATCAGCCTAAAATCAATGCGCGCGCTGATGTCATCCATGAAAATTACTTGCTGTGGCCTAACTTCTGTAGACGGGCTGTTCCACTAGATGGTTTCTCTGTCAGCTGCAATGAGATGGCCTGGCCTGAATATCCGTTGCTATATGAAAAAGGGGGGCTCGAAAAATCGATAAGTTAATAGGATTCACATTGCCATTTACAATATCGTACCTTTTCAATTTCAGGTGGACCGACGGTGGTGATGACAGATATCTACGTCACAAGTATCGGTCCAGTTTCAGAAGTGGACATGGTAAGTGGTTACTTTACTTTGGGCTGTTTACTATTGGGAGCTGACCTAAAATATGCAAGGTTGTTTTTTTTGTATTACACTGCAAGTGATTGTCACTTTGTATTATGAACGACTACGCCACAATGAAGTGAAGGTGGAAATATATGTACATGTACAACCTATCAGAGTGGATAACCCTGTCTTATTGAAAAATTCAGTCTTTGAATGTCCGATCTGTATGTGACCAATAGCCTAGGTACAAACACTGACTACTACTACAGTTGTAACTTTGCTTTGATGCCGCTCAGATAGTTTCTTGTTTTTCTTTTTTGACTTAAGTCTCTAGGGAGAAAGGGATGGTTTAATCAAAAGTTATAATGGACGTTATTCGCTATTTTGCAGTTTCGGTGTTAACACGAAAACATTAAAGTTGTTATGTTTACCTTCGCAGAAGAAAAACATATTGTTTTTGCTCTGTTTCTGCCTCTTCTTCTTCTTCTTCTTCCTCTTCTTCTCCAAAAAAAGGTCAATGACCAAGACCAGACGTCTGTCACCATGGTAACTGGTGTTGGGTTACATAATGTTGCAAGTGCTATGCAGAACTGTGTTCAAGAAGGGCTGCATGGTCACCATATATGGTTTATATATATATATGAATGTGTTTGAGTAAAAAAAAACAAAGCAGTAGTTTGTTAAGGTAAACATGATGCATTTGCTTTGCAAATTTTACCTTTCTAGTTAATGTTACTTATGTGTAGATATATCGATTCTTAGATTATGAAAATTATTACGAAGAAACTTTCCATCTTTGACACTTCGCTGATGATCATATACTCCCATATAACGGGCACATAAACTCTATAATATGAGTCTGATCAGAGTTTGAAATTTCCCCCTGATCTTGTCAGCTTTGCGCCGTTAATCTAATGATGAGGGCGGCTCATGGTTCAGTAAGCTGCCGACCGTGCCGTATTGGAGAGGCACCCTCCTTCTGCATTACGCTAACGTGCGGTAAATTCTAATGAGTGATGCTTCTCCAAGTGCCAATTCCGCCACCTCGAGACCGTAAAAGAATCCGTCCATAAAAAATTCAGGGGTGAGCCTATAGGGCATAATCGCCACATTAAACGCTCGTCTGCCGCTATTAACGGCGGCGTTTTTGTGCTAATTCAAACGGGGGACAGTTTTAAGACGACGATAATTTCACCTCAAGCCTTGCGGTTTCATGCCCGTAGCCAGGACTTTGAATGCAGGGGGTTCTTCCTACTGCTTGAGGGACCAGCGAGCGCCACAGGCGCGAGGTTCCTAGGGGGGTCTGGGGGCATGCTCCATCTGAAAATTAAAAAAAAAATGAACCTTCTGAAATGGCATTTCCTGGAGGATTTCAGAGAAAAAAATCAGAGATAACTTTTTATTCAATGACAAAGTAGGCAGTTTTTATACGATTCCAGGCCCGCTGATGATACGAATCAGTCCATCTGAAGAGAAATCTTGGACCTTTAGATAAAAAGTGGACCAAAAAGTGGACGTTTGAGCCTTGTGGGGGAGTTCTTCCGAACCCCCAAACCCTCCATGGCTACGGGCATGGGTTTTACATCGTGGCCGGCTATCACTTCCAAAGGGTGCCCGGTTTGTTGAGCACCCTGTCATCATCATTTTGTTCGCATGAGTGCCACAGCTATATTCTAGGGATGTTATGTTAACTGTGATATGCCGTCACTCAACGGCATGATAAAGAACAACCTACCAAACAATCGGGAGATATTACTACTAATAAAACAGTATCATAGTCATTTAGTATCATATTCAGGTAAGACGTAAGCAAACGACAACAGTAGCCAAAGTATGCTAGCAATATCTATATAGCAAATGTGCTTAAAATTAATCTTTAGTGTAAAGAGGAGTATAAATCCCTCCCACTACAAAATTGCAACATGATGTAACCCAACACCAGTTACCATGGTGAGAGATGTCAACAGATCAGGTCATTGGCCAGGTAATAGGTCAGTGTTTAGTGCGGAAGAAGAAAAAACGTAGCAAAAACAAGTTTTCCTTCAATAATAATAATAATAATAATAATAATAATAATAATAATAATAATAATAATAATAATAATAATAATAATAATAATAATAATAATAATAATAATAATAATAATAATAATAATAATAATAATAATAATAATAATAATAAATGACTTATTTCTACAGGAGTACACGCTGGACTGCTTCTTCAGACAAACGTGGCAGGACACGCGGCTCCAGTTCAGAGGTCCCCCGAAGGAACTCCGCCTCAATAACGTCATGTTGGACAAGATCTGGACACCGGACACGTACTTCCGTAACGGCAAGAAGGCCATCGCACACACCATGACCACGCCCAACAAACTCTTCAGAATCCAAGAGAACGGCACAGTACTCTACACTATGAGGTACAGTGCTCTACAACATGTCACTTTGTTATAGAATGCAGATTGTATAGTAAGGCCACACCAATTTAACTTGTTGGTTCTCGAATTTTTTCAGAAAAAAATATGAAGCGACAGGGCGAAAAAAAATAAAAATAAGAACAGGTTTAGGCATCCTACTATAGCCCCAAGTGCTACGATAGGAGCCATGTAGTCAACACAAAATGCTGAGTTAATATTTAAAGAATGAATTTTGAACTTTTGATCAAACGACTGTATTGATAGATGGAAAAACTGTAACAACTAGGAAAAAAGGCCTTTCCTCAACTGTTTGGGGCAAGATATGAGTATACTTGATTTGATTCAGAACCAGAATTTTTTTTTGCAAATCAGAAAAAAATGAAGAGGCGAATCCGAGAACCAACAAATTAAAATGGTGTGTCATAAAGAGAGAAATGATCTGTATAGGCTAGGTTTGCACAAAACCTACTTCCTTACTTCATACACTTGAGCACTGTAGAAAAGTTCATATTCCTAATGTAACAAACCTTCCATCGAAAAACATATCTGTTCCTTCATCTCTGCTATAACTGAAAAGCGATAAGTTGAATTTATGTAATGATAGCTGGTTTTATTTTATATATATCTTTTCATCATGTTTTGTCTAGTACTTAGCCCAGTGTGGCAAAAATGTGCAGTAAAGGTCACCATTCATTCATTCATTCATTCATTCATTCATTCATTCATTCATTCATTCATTCATTCATTCATTCACTCACTCATTCATTCATTCATTCATTATTTTCAGGTGGCCTCAAAAAAACTGAAAAACGTTTGGTCTGCTCTGTTAATTCTTACTCAAACACATTCATATATATGGTCAGACAGGAGTCTAAATCCCTCCTGCTATAAAATTGCAACATGATGCAACCTAACACTTAGTCTAGTTACCATGGTAACAGACACAACATCGGTTCAGGTCATTGAGGTCACTGTTTGAAGAAGAGGAAACCTAACAAAAACAATACGTTTTCCTTTGGTAAACATAAATATACGCAAATGGTTCCTATTATCAATTTTTCAACGTTTTCATGCCTTGTTGTCTTTTATATCGGGTCCCGGTTTGGAAATGTGACGTCAGTATTAAGCGTGCCTTAACGGATTATGGCGTTCCACCTATGGGGTTCAGTTTGAATCGCACGCCAACAAAGATATATTTATGATTACCGAAGGAAAACAAATTGTTTTTGCTACGTTTCCTCTTCTTCTTCTTCTCCAAACGGTGGCCTCAATGACATGAACCTATGTTGTGTCTGTTACCATTATAAGTAGTGTTGGGTTACATCATGTTGCAATTTTATAGCAGGAAGGATTTAGACTCCTGTCTGACCATATATACGAAGGTGTTTGAGTAAGAGTCAACAGAGCAGATCATATGCGAAGGTAAACATGCATTTGCCTTGCAAATGCTACCTTTCTAGTTGTATAGCTACTTTCTTGTCCTAGTCATCAGTCAACTTTCTAATTATGTTCAGTTTCTAAGTTTCACTTTAAGCTACCAGTAGGAACCATAAAGTTACTACGTGTATCATGTCTTCAAACTTGCTTCAGTGGATTTCCCACATCTGTATTCTCTGGTGCTAGGTGTATTCACGAGAGAGCGCACAGACGGTGAGGTTTAATGGAAGATATGTATTTCTAGGGACGAACAACATCGTTGTCACAAGCAAAAGTGCTAGCTTGAATTCACTGCCAACGGCACAGTAACGATAAGTTATATCTCCATTTTCCATTGTACCAACATGCGCTTTTGTGTCTCAAAGTATATAGGAGTGATCTCTTGACGTCATATTCCATTAGTTCTATAAGGATGGGCACGGGACTGTAGATGTGTCGATAGAGGTCCATCTATCTATCAACCTTACAAAGTGTCACTGGTTACGACAGGTGTATCTAACTGTGTCCTGTCGCACATTCACACACTTTTGAAAAAGGGCGCCTTTGCTTTACATTACGAAGCATGTATAGTGGAGACACCGCTATGGCCACTATATTACTCACATCTTTACTTTTAACCTTTTATAAAAACCATATAAAGAAGGGAACAAAACGACTTGTAAGTGAAATGTAGCTCTTATTCTCGAGGGTGTGCTGGTGGGTTTGGGCGATCACCAAGAGTGTCACTCTAATTCCGTGTAAATTGTCCTAGTGTCGAAGCAAGTATAGTGAAGACAGCGTTATGGCCACTATATTTCACACATCTTTACTTTTTACCTTTTACAAAAATCACATAAAGAAAGATCTTTACTTTTTACTTTTTATAAAAACTGTATAAAGAAGGAAACAAAACAAGTTGTAAGTGAAATGTAGCTCTTATTCCCGAGGGTGTGCTGGTGGGTTTGGGCGATCACCAAGTGTCACTTTTAATTCCGTGTAAATTGGCCTGACATCCGTGGAGGAATCCAGTCATCTATGGCTCTCAGGTCGAATCGATTCCCGGCCAGCCGTGTGTGTGCTTAAAGCTTGACCTTGCAGCAGCGGTGAGGAGAAGTTGTATTATCGGTTGGTTTGTGCCTGACGAGGTCGGTTTCCTCACCGACAGGTTCCGGCTGATTAGGCGCGGCAGCTCGCACGATTGCCGCGGTACATGTCCTGGTGTCGGGCCGCCCTCGCCTTAACGGCGCTCACATCTCTCACTGGAACCGTGTCCCCATTAGAGCAGACATCCCATGAAATTACAGAACATCACAGGTACATTGAGATGCGATGGTTTGCCCGCTATAATGGTCTCAAGCACGCTGACGGATCACAGGCGAATAGAGCTCTGAGCCCAACAGCCCTTTACACGGCATAGCGGAGGTAGTCTACATACTACTAAATGTTCAACAAATATTGAGAGGTATTCGTCATGCGAACAAATGTCATTCGTATTGCAAAATCAATGTGGGTAAGGTCAGCTAAGTTCACGTTACCGAACCCCTAGGTTGTGGCATGGCAAGCAATGCAAGCTTTTTCGACGAGAGAGAGACAGAGAGAGAGAGAGAGAGAGAGAGAGAGAGAGAGAGAGAGAGAGAAGAGAGAGAGAGAGAGAGAAATAGAAAATGTTTTTTTCAACATAAAAAACCTCTGCAGCACAATTGCTGAATTGCGGTTTCCTTGCAAAAATACGTAGTTTAAAACTTATTAGCATTATACATTGCAAATAAGAATTAAAACAAGTCATAAATCCTATAAAATCACTACATCTATACAAAAAGAGGGATTTTAAAATTCAACGAATATATATACATTAATTGAACGGACTAGTCTAGTAAAATGTTGAAATTAATTCCAACACAAGGTTTCACAGAGATCAAATTTTCAACGAGCACTGTCGCCTTCATCAGGAGAATGAATGACCAATCACTTCAAAACGTAATCTCGCGAGAGTTACGGTTACAGACACGTGACCTTATTCACGCGAGACTTTAAGGATACGTGACGTCAGCAACTGTGATCAAAACTGAGCGGACTGATACTTTTGTTTCTACCACATACACTGCTCCGGGCTTGTTGTTTGACAAGAAAAACGTTTAACAAAGTTTGTTCAGGCGAAGATTGATGTGAAACCTGAGAGAATCCTCCGACAGAGACATGTTCCACCACACGAGCATCATTGATCATACACTGATCTGCCCATCTAAGCCTGCACTGTACATGTTATGCACAGAGCGTTTGATTCCTTCATCCACGTGTCGATCTCCATTACTGTTTCCACCAACTGCAACAAAACACAATTTAGGTAAAAGCTAAATTGAGAGTTTAGAAAATGCCTTTCCCCTTGGTTAGGATTTGAAGTCTGCCTTGACATCACAACTTTTTAAAGTAGGTTTTCTCTATGCACAGAGCGTTTGATTCCTTCACCCAAGTGTCGATCTCCATTACCAGTAGTGCTGTTTCCACCAACTGCAACAAAACACAATTTAGGTAAAAGCTAAATTGAGAGTTTAGAAAATGCTTTCCCCCTTGGTTAGGATTTGAAGTCTGTCTTGACATTACAACTTTTCAAAGTAGGGTCTTCTGTTCTATCTACACGATGCGCCGTGGGCGTTGTGTGCACTGAGAGTTTGTCTGTGTGGGGATGGAATCTTTCTTGCATGCCTTTAGCTATTTTGGAGGTCTAATTCTGGATGAAATTTTCCTGGTGGACCCATGATGCTGAGGTACATATACGTATGGGATGTATTTCAGGCTTTTAAGAGTAGCCTCGAGGTCCGCAACTTCACGGTCACATTTGTACTTGTCAATAAAATTGCAGCAAAGAAGCTTAATGAAATGTCTCTCATACCTTTGGCTATTGTCACAATTAATAATCCTGGATGTAATTCAAATGCAGGTATTTTTGACACAGACGAATGGTAGACGTATTAGCGACGCTGCAAGCGTTATCGAAATGTTCTGAGGCTCTAAATCATCGTGTACAGAGATGCGAGTTTACTTTTGCAAAAGGAGTCTGGACGGGAAAGATGGAAATTTATGGCAAAGATTTGTAGCAACCGGCAAATGCGTAGTTCGGTGAAGCTGGGTATTAGTGTGTAGTTTATACCGTTTACTTTTATCACAAAGGTAATAAATGGGTACTACCAGCGTTATCCGGTACATCTTAAAGCAGAAGTTTACCTTTGCCATATAGCAAAACTACTGCCGCTCAGTAAGACTTAGAAGCAGAGAATGGCAACTTGTTACGTGGTGTATATATATGTACTACTAAATACTATAAGCTAAGGATGGGCTAAATTTGTTTCACATCTAAGATACAAGGCGTTCTCTTCTGCTGAAAGAAGTAAAGGGATCTTGTATATGTATTCACCAAAGTTCTTTTACTTAAAGTCTACATTTTGTGATTGAAGCAACGGTGTATGTACTACTAAATACCACTAGCTAAGGCCTAGGATGGGATAAGTTTGCTAAATTTGTTTTACGTCTAGCATACACGGCGTTCTCTTCTGCTGAAAGAAGTAAAGCGTTCTTGTATATGTATTCAC